TCCTTGCCACAGCAGGGAGAAGGCAGGCTGGAGAGCCTTGCCTCGCATTCAGATGCTGTCGCCTTGAAGTAGGTGACCCATGCCACTTTCCTTTTGTCCTCAACCAACTGAACGTACCCGTCAATGAAGTACCATCCTCCCTGCTCCGCAAAGCAGCGGAGAACCTGGCCTTTTCCGTGCCTGGTGAGCGTTCAGGTTTGACTACACAAGAAGTCCTTGGAGGATAAAGGGTTTTCTACTCTTTATTTCTTACGGAGAAACTTGAGACCCAGAAGAGGTCAGTGCCTTGCCTACAGCGAGCTTTCTAGTGGTGGTACAGAGAGAAGACAGACTTGGAGCTTTGAGGCCAGCGCTTCATCCGTTATGTGACATGCACATCTCCTGTAACTTCCGTAAGGGACAGCAACACTGGGGAGCCACTGTAGGGACTTCTCCTGCAGCAGCTTGGCACAGTCAAGTGACCAACGGTGGTTTGTTACACACTGGTGATAGAGACTCATGTCTGCAGGGGTAGGGGACGTGAGGCTAAAGTCAGTTGGCTTGGAGACAGGCCTTCAGTAGCTCCCTGCTGTTTTATGTTTGCTTAGTGTTATCACATCCTCATTATGTGCTTTTTCTGGTATTACCATATTGATTTTGAAAATAGTTTCTTTTCCAAAGTATTGAAGTTTCTATGTTACACTTACCTTTTATTAGCTCTACCAAAAACTGCTTTTTTCAAATTAATACATAGACAGTTTAAAAAGTCAAATAATTTCATTCATGCATCGATGTATATATCTATATGTGCCTGACCCCCAGCTGCTCCACCCCCAGTTCCAGTTTTCTTCTCTCGGGTCATTTTCTGCGCCTTCATTGTATGTTGCATTGTATGTTGCTAAATTGTTCTGCTATGTGTATCCACATAGCAACTTGCTTACCCAGGTTTTCCTTCTTCAGTTTTATGTACTGTGTTAAATTTGTGCTATAAAAGATGTGGATTTAAATTGTTCTTATTCTCTTATTTTTCACCTCTCAGCATAGTTGGATAACAGCATTGTATGCTGACTGTTATGGTTTGTGTCTAGGTGTCCCCCCAAAGCCTCCTGCAGTCTTGGGGTGGCTTCGGGAGTTCGTGATTGATTACTGTGGGTGTGGGTGCTGCACCTCCCCTGGGGCAGGGAATTTGCCTCACAGTGTAAGGAGGGCAGAGAAGCCCGCTGCCTGAGCTGCTGCTACCCCCCCTTGTTTTCTTGCTCTTTGCCGCAGCCATGCAAGGTTGCCCTCTGCCGTGTGCCGCTCTGCCTTGGAGCCAGCTGAGCGTGGACTGAATCCTCCAGTGACTGAGCTAAATAACCCTTTCCTTCCTTCAATTCTGGTGTTGGTTATTTGTCCCAGCAGCGAGAGAAGAGTAACTAAGACACATTATACCTACCAAATGTGGTTTACATCTGAGCCATAGAAAGTACTACGGTTGTAATTTCTTTTTCAAATAGTTTTTCTATTGCTTTTATGTCTTTTCAGTGAAAAGAAATGGAGAATTTTTTTAATTTTTTTTTTTTTTATCAGAACTTGTTCCTGGCTTTTTTATACACACCTACAGGCAGTACTCAGAACACAAATGAATAGTTTGGTGACTTTTAACAAAGTGAATACATGGATAACATACAAGTCAAGAAACATGGGGCTGGCAAAATAGCTCAGCGGATTAAAGCACCTGCCAGCAAGAGCGGGGGCGGGGGTTCGATCCCCTGGCCTGCCCTGCCAGCCCTGCCCCTGGGGCACGCTGAGGAGGCAATTGAGACTGGGTGGGATGGTGGGCGCCTGTAATCCCAGCTCTTGGGAGGCTGTAACAGGAGGATCACTATGAGTCCGATCTAGTAGTGAGACCCTGAACACCCTGTAGACCCTTCCCTAAATACAAAACAATAAAAATCAAAATCAAAAAATAGGGGCTGGGGAGATGGCGCAGTGGAATAAACGCTTCCCTAGCAAGTGCAAGGGCCTGAGTTCAATCCCTGGTTCCGCAAAAGAAAAAGAAAAAAGAAACATTGAACTTTTAAGTTTTTCTTCAAACTACTAATTACCTTAGTTTTTCATTTGCTTAATTTTGTATATACGTATCACTAAATGATTGGTGGTTTTTTTTACGTATTTAGAACAGGGCCTACATGGTCTCACTACACAGATCGGACTCGTAGGGATCCTCCTGTTGTCAGCCTCCCAGGTGCTGGGATTACAGGCCTGCGCCATTACGGCTGGCTTTTATTATCTTCTTCCACATCTGTCCTGGACTCCTGTATGTGACCTGCCGTTTATCATACGCCTTTGTGGTGACTGGCTTCTCATCATTTTTGGCTGATGCCCTTTACTGAGAAATATATGATAGCTTCTTTTTGAAGTGTGACTCTTCTAACCTGCGTTTCTGATATGTTTTTATTCGTTATTTATACCTCACTAATACAGTTCCTGGGGATATAATTCTCACTTGGAAAATTTGGAAGTTTTACTGTGCTATCTTCTCCATTTCACTTTTGCTCTTGAGAAATCTGCTCTGTGCTCCCTGATATTTTATATCAGATCTGTTTTCATATTCCCTTTTCATGAAACTCAAGAGTTTCCTCTGTGTTCCTGGTATTCTGGGATTTCACAATGATGTGCCCTGCGGTAAGTCTTTTTTTTTTTTCTCAATATTTACTGGGTGCTTTTAATCTGCAAACTCATACATTTTAGGTTTTTATAGTTTAGTTTTAATTCCTATTCTTGATCTTGGCTGAGTGTGTTCCTTTTTCATGTCTGCTACCTGAGAGTTTCCCTTCGTTAAAGTTCTCCCTTCTTTTGGGTGAAAATATGTCATTTTAAAAATTTATTTAAGGTTATATGCAAGGAAACATTTGTACATGTGTGCATCTTGATTAAGTCATAGCTGATTATCTCTGTAGCGTTCACGTAGTTTAGAATGTCCCTGTGATGTAGAAGCACACTTGGGCTGGCATTCCTGTGCCGCACCTACATGCTGAATTTAAATAGCATTTTCTAAGATTTTTAGAGTCATAACTACATACACAATTATTTCTAGTTTAATCTTATATCTTCAACTAAACTAAAAGGTTAGGCAAAGTGAACCATGTGAGCATATTAAAATTTAAAAGTGGAAAGAGACACAAACATGAGCTTATATTTGTGAAATTACTTAATTCCTTAGATGAAATTGGCAAGATCTATGTTTCATGCAGTCTTTCCTGTATGTTCCTTTTTTTTTTTTTTGTAATAGTAAAATAATTTTTATTATGACTCATGTACTTTTTAAGTTTTCAATTATTGAGTTCAGGTAACTTGCACATAAATTATTACATTAAACTTCCAAGTGGATCGCCTTAGTGCAGCTCATTCTGGGTGTTACATGGCCAACTTTCTCGTCTACCTGGAAAATATCTGAAGGAGTCACTGTTAGTTGTGTTTCAAATGGGATGTCTTTTAAAGCCTAATATAGTAGCATTTGTGAGCTAGGAAGTATCGGACCTACCTTAGATTGCATTTATGTGACACTCATTTCAACATTATATTGATTTAGTACTTGGGAAATTTTGCTGAATTTTGTAACTTAAGTACTTTCAATATACTAATTGAAACATTAAAAAGGGGGCTGAGTATTTTTGATAATTCAATGTTAGTCATTTTGCAACAAGATTATTTTCTAATTTCTTCAGACTAGTTTTAGAAGATTCAGGTAGACAGCAATAGAAAGTAATTAAAACTGAATGAAATTATCTCAACTTTAAAAGATTGTACATATATTTGTATTTTACGCATAACCTTATTTCCTGATATTTCCAAAATGGTAAATCACATTTTAAATTAAAAAATTATTTTTTCTAAAATCATGGCCAGGTTTTCAGTAGTATGTGTGGCCAGAGCACCCACCTGTGGCCCTGTCCAAGTCTGAGCAAAATAGGTAAATTTGACTACTTGTTGAGCTATATTTAAACGCCACACATAACCACATTTTTCTACAGATGTCTCACATTAAGAAGTAGAAAAGCTTATTTACCTTTCTGTCGTGTTCCTTTTGTTGTTTTTCCACTGCGTGTTGGAGTCCTGCCTCTGAGAGAAAATCTGAGTATCATCTACTGTAATGTTTGATCAAATTATGTAAATCTCTATCCTGTAGGTCACAGGCTAATTTCTATATGGTTCTCATGTAGTTAATTGAAAGCCAAATACGTTGGAGATAACGCTGTGCTTTTGCTGTTAATATCAACTGAGAAGAACAGGTTGCTCGCTTCATACCTGGAGGATCTGGTTCTGCCAGTTGAGCGCCGTTCTGTAGACTGAAGGAGGCTTCTCCCTGGAGCTGCTTCAGTGGCAGGAAGTCCTTGTTAAACTGCCCACGTAGGTATTTGCACATATAAATGTAAATCCAGCCCTGAAGTACCTGGGAGATGATTTTTAAAAACTCTTGCATTTAAGTAAAGGTTACTTTCTTTTCTTTAGATATCAAAGCCTTGTATAAACGCAGAGCAGGACTACATTGTAGGAGAAAGAAGCATGGGGTAACACTCTTGCCCCACCCCCTTTAAGACGACTTGAGTTCCAGCCTGTCTGAAGAAGTCCCACAGGGACCTACCTCGCCCTTGAGGGTCATAGCGTTTCAGAAGTGGAGCGGCAGAAAACAGCTCCTTTTTATAACCTTCCACCCTCCTTTTAATATACTGCTATTTTTACTTTAAAATAAATTTCTTATGTAGTTTTTAGTGTAGAATAACTAAAGTTGTCCAGTTTTTCAGTAGTATGTGTGACCAGAGCCGCCGCCGGTGGCCCTAAGCAGTATTCCGCCGTTTGCTGTACCAGTATAAGAATTCAACATCAGTGTTTCCAGGAGGAAGTATTTGTAAGACGGTTACGTGTGAAAATTACTCTCATATTACTAAGTTTCTAAATCCATCTCTTTTTTTCTACCTAGATTTTTGTTTGAAGGTAGGAGAAGGAGTATTATTACAGTGGCTAACAGTCGACTCAGAAGCTACACGTCCTGGAATCTGTTCTCCAAGAAGAAGTGATTCCAGGCACTTTTAAGTAAAAACAAAACCCTAGAAATGCAAAAGGCTTTCAGTGTAGAAGCGCCTCGATGCGTGACAGAATAGCCATCCATAGGGCGTGTCTGCAGCATAATGAGGGTGTATTTGTCCTGTTTCAGAATTTATGCTTCCATTAAAAAATGCATGCTGCAGACGAAGTTCATGCATTATAGGAGCTGTTCTACCTGGAGATAC